TTTGAGAAAATATATGCAGTTATGAAGATAGTTCTTTGGTAATTTACACCTGTGCACATATGTTGCTGCCGTTGAAAGGTAAATTAGCAGCGTAATTATTACAAATGCATTGCTTTCGCTTAAAATCTATTAGTACTTTTGAGGTTTATCTGATGATTTTGTTTGGTATTGGCTTTAATTACATTAACCATTAAGTCATCTTATACATCCTAGACTTCAAAATTTATCCTTATCTGGTTTTCACTTAACGCCGAGCTGAAGATTAAGAAAAGCCTAAATAATAACTAAACTTTTGATTTTGTTGGTTCGACATTGTTTTCGCAAGTTGGTCGAAGCCTCTATTATAGTATTCTTGATTTCCAGCATTATGCCATTGGCTGGGTACGTTCCAAAACGTTTCGCCGGCATTATCAGGGAGAGGCGCCATCGCAGCATAGAGTTACAACTTATCAATGATAAGTTACGTGTGGAGAGGTACGTTCCACAAGGTCTCCCTGACGCTTCGATCAAGTTATGAAAACAAGATCGAACCAACACTATAAAGCTAAAGGAGATTGTGACCAAACAGAAGGCCACATCATCTTCTTCATACCGATAAACTTGTAATTGTTTTTCTGTCTAGCTAGGACTTCAAGAAAGCAAGACTACTTATTTACTTTTTTTGCAGAAAGAAAAGTTAGTTTGTGTACACTATACTACGAATACCTATTAATGACGTTCTCATATAATCTCTAAATATGATTTTTTTCTCTTCAATTACATAATGAAACTATAGCTTTTAGAACTATCAGTGGATTGCAATAAAAATTTGAGTCACCTTATGCCACTTAATGTGATGTAGGGTAGTTTAAATGAAATTGGATAGCTTCTTAAGTCTCACTTTTTCGTGTGAAATCCATCTATGGGTCGTTACACACCTTAAAATGTCTAGAGTATACTATTTCGATGACTTTTATATAGAGTCTTCATAAGACCCTATCATTTTTACTTTTTTGCGTTCTAGAATTTGGTTACTGAACTTAATTTTCGTCCAAGTGAATATCCTATTCCTACTGTTGGAAATTCTTCCTCTACATCGGCTGTGCAACACAGATCTTATATAGCGAATCTGCGCCCAGACCATTCCATCCTTCGTCGGGAGAACGTTGACTTAGGTGAACAAGTTGCTCTCGACTCTTCCGTTCCTGCGAGTTCGTTTAAAGCTGAGAAAAGCACTTGTTCGTCCAGCCTGCAAGCTTTTGTCTCTCCTCATAGTGAGCAGGCTCGTTTACGTGGAATAATTGGTCTCATGTTGCGCCTCATAACCGGATCGGCAGCAAGACTGACGCATCCTCCAATTTTTCCGGACAACACGATATATCCGGCCCCCAAAACGAATGTATTTACGGATGTCTCAGGGCTATTTGAATTTTGGCCTCATCTTGATGCCGCTTTGGACAATTTGACTGCAGGAGACTCGGATACTATTTTGCTCCTTCAACCTCTAATTGAAGCATTCTGCCTAACTCATCTTCATTTTGCCAAAGAAGCTGTGAGTTTAACAAAAAATTAACTTTCACTTTAAAAGATATATTCTCTATTCTTTTCTCTTTATTAAACTTGAGTCGTTTTCTTGGAGTGTTGTGAATCTATTGCTCAAGTGACCACTCATTGGAATTTCATTGAAGTCTCTTAAGAGGTTTTGATGAGATGCTTTCATGGCCGTTGCCTCAGTGCCGTAGAGTAGAGTGGCCAAGGCATTTTGAGCTTTGATTTTAACATTTATGTTCCTTTAATAAAGTCTTCTTGGTAAGATTTAAATACATGTCTAGCAACTTGGATCTTTTTTTCTCTATTGAGAACTATATTGATATCAAACTACCAAGATAATATTAATGTCTGGTTCCTTTTATACATGCACAAGATTGTATAAGGATTCCATTTAATCATAAGGTTAGGAAGGTAATACAGAATTGTCTAGATAATCAACTCATTTCTTTGTTGTACTGTATAATTTACCAGTTTATCTTGCATGTGTTTAAAGTAAAGTTGTCGACGGAGCTTACTCGACAATTCC